GGTAAGGTTGTAATGCATTATGGGTACTCAGTAAGAAATAGCCTAACCCAGTTCTACTACAACGACCCTAAGTCACTTTCTCCTAAAACTTCATTTAACAATTAGCAAGTATCTTTACTATGAGTATTGCTTACGAATTATAGTTTGAAGAACTCAAGAATTACCATGAAGATTAGCAGTACTGACTAATCTTCCAGAAGACCTGGGTTTGATTCCCAGTACTAGCATGGTGGCTTACAACAGTCCGTCACTGCAGTCCCAGGGAGTCCGATGCCCTCTCCTGGCCTCCTTGGATACTACACACAAACGTGGTGCACCGATGTGCATGTAGACAAAACCCATAAAACAAATTTTCTTAAGAAGATTTACAGTTTGAGGGGTTTTTTTTCAGAAAAAAAGAAAAAGACTGTTGTGAAATTAAATGAGAACAATATATATACAGATACCTGCATGTATTTTTCAGTGTGTGATGTGGGGGGAGGGTGCAGGTGTGCACTCATGCAAGCCAGAGGAGGATGTGGGATGTCCTGCTCTATCACTCTCAGTCTTGGTCCTTGAGATAGGTTCTCCCCGGAGGTGGAGCTAGGCATGTGCCTATAACTTCAGCAACCCTCCTGTCCCTTCCTCCCTCACAGTTCTAGGGTTATAGGCACATGCTGCCATGCCTGGCTCTGTCATTAGTGCATGAGATTCAAATTCAGGTTCATGTACAGCAAGCACTGCAACCCACAGAACCATCTCAAAGTCCATGCATGCATTTATTTTTTATGGAGTAGTTAGTACATAGGAAATATTCAACAATTTTTAACATTTTACTTATAATATTCTTAATGAAATCCCAGTATGAATCCAACTTCATATTTTCTTACACATGATAAAGTCGGACTGGCACCTCTTAGAAGTAACATGAGGAACAAGATGTGATGGATGCCATATAGTCCATAATACACTTGTGTACATTTTTATTAAATTAATTAATTCCTTTTCCAGCCTGATCACAGTTTCCCCTCCCTTCCTCTTCTCCTCCCAGTCCTTCCCTATGACCTCTGCTATTCCCCTCCCAATCCACTCTTCCTCCTTTCTCTTCAGAAAAGGGCAGGCCTCCCATGTTTGTCAGCCGTTACATAACAAAATCAAGTTTCAGTGAGACTAGGTACCTCCTCAGCTATTAATGTTGGATGAGACAACCCAGTATGAGGTATAGGGTCCCAAAGGCCAGCAAAAGAGTCAGAGTCAGCCTCTGCAACTATTGTTAAGAGTCCTATAAGAAAACCAAGATACACAACTGTAACATATATGCAGAAGACCTAGGTTAGTACCATGCAGGCCTTCTGGTTGGCAGTCTCTATGAGCTTCTATGAGGCCAGGTTAGTTGGATTCTGTGGGTTTTCTTGTGCTGTCCTTGAACCCTCTGATCCCCACAATCCTTCCTCCAACCTCTTCCACAGGATTCCTTGAGGTCTGCCTAGTATTTCTCTGTGGGTCTCTTCATCTGTTTTCATCAGTTGCTGGGCGAAAGCCTCTCTAATGACAGTTGGACTAGGCACCAATCTATAAGTAAAGCAGATTATCATTCAGGATCATTTTGTTGACTTTTTATTGCCGGTTATGTTTAATTCATCCTAAGAGGACATGGCATAGAAGGCCTACAGAAGCCGTTTTGGCCATTGGGACCTTTAGGCATAATTTCTGGAACCAGGACTCTGAACTACACATGGTCAACATAGTTCAATTGTATTTAAGTAAAACTTCATTGGAGATGTTACAGGGTATCTCAGAGAATTAATATCAGAGGGAAATATTGAAAAGTGGTCTATATGCAACTGAATCTAAAGAAATCCTGGTGGTAGAGTCATATACACAGACCAGATTCTATTCCTTTCTTGCTTCCAGTCTCCCTGAATAGGGGCTGCCTTTTCTTTCTTTTTTTTTTCTTTTTCTTTTTTCTTCTGCCACAGCAGATTGGCTTCCTCCAAATGACAGAAACATGGCTATTGTTGATATTTTGGTTGTATATTTTAGGGCTTTAACTACACCAAGCAAGACTGTGGTTTTCAGTACCAATTCCTAAATCCTGGAGAAAAACTCAAATATATCTAGCTTGAATCACATTAAAGACTTAGAATGTGACTTGGGTCCATTTGAACACGGTGTCTAACCAAGCCCTGCCTCCCAGCTTTCTCCTAATGTGTTAATAAATTGGTTGCCATCATTTTGATAGACTGGATGTGTAGCAGTACTCCACAGAAGCAGTGTTGGCATTTCCATCATTACATGACTACTGTTGAATGGATAATCTGTGGAAATAATTCAGGAAAGTTGGCGATTTTGGAAGCTCCATTTATCAGCCAAAGCTGCCTAGGATCCCTTAGAACTTTCAGTTATAACTGCTCATGTACTGTTGTAAAGCTCAAGATAGTGAGACAAGGTTACTGTACATAGAGGGAACTGAGCATAGGAGAAGGGGGGCACATCAATGAAGCAGAGCAATCTGGACCTCCCAGCTCTTTACAGATTAAACCCTTATGTTACTCCCAGCTGCCTCTCTGTTCCCTCCTACCTTAACACCTCTTTTAAATATTTTCTTCCATCACTTTTAAAATTAAGTCCTTGTGTTACTCATGAGACAATTCTCTTCCAATTCTAGTATAATCGTGCTATACTGGAGACAAAAGTCTAAAGTAAGGCAAAGTTTCTCGTGTTCTCTGGTTCTTCTTTTGCAATTATAGAATCCGATGATTAAGAAAACCAACTTCGAGAATCAACAAGCCCACCCATTGCCAAACACATCTCACCTCTGGTATCCATGACAAGAGGACATCCAGGTTGTTTGACCATATGTCACAGAGCTCACCACGTTTTAGGAAAAGCCATTCTATTTCTGGACAGTTTTGCATATTAGAAGGGCTTCCCTAATCCCAGCTCTCAGGAGGCAGAGGCAGGCAGATCTCTGTGAGTTTGAGGCCAGCCTGGTCTACAGATGGAGTTTCAGGATAGACTCCAAAGCTACAGAGAAATGCTCTCTCAAAAAAAAGTGCTTTCAATAAAATTCATCTCCAAAATCTGTCTTTCCTTGATGCCTCCACCTCTTGGTCCTGGTTCTTCCACCTGGAAACAGAGAATTCCAATATCTTCCTCACATGCATTGCCTTTCAAGAGAGCTATCATGTTCACTGCATTTCTAACTGTTCTCTGCTTCTGTAATTTAGGGCATCTAGTCCACTATTACCTTGAATACTCCATTCTTAAACTTTGCTCATGTGTTCCTCTTAATTTTTCCCACATATTTACTAATCATTTTTCAGATATAAAATATCTTCACAAAGAACAAAACTAGTAACTGCTTTAATTATAGCTGTTTAACACTTCTAGTCACAAAAGTTACATGTATCTAGTGTGAAGACCAAGCCTATACTATTCTGCTGTAGTGAAAAGTAATCCACTTAAATGAAATTTAAATGATTAAAAAGTGTTTAAGTTTAAGTAAGGGAGGATGTGAAAATTGTACACATTAGTAGTTAAAACTGGAATGAAATTTGGCAATTTGCAAATTCTTGTGATTGCCCAATTGAGTTTTCTTTATTTCCAGTCATGATACTCATGTTCTCTATTGAGTCAAACCAATGGCAAAGTAAACCTGTATTAGGAGTCATACTTAACAAAATTTTGTTGTATGCTCAAAAAGGACTTCAAGGTGAGATCCCACAAAGTTCCCCACTCTGAAGGCACTAACAATTTAGAACCAACATGAACCTTTGCTCTCTCCTTAAGCTTGGCATATAAGTCAATGGATTGGTAAAAGCTTGGTAAAAGATTGGTAAAATTCCATGTTTGGGTGGGTGACACAGGTTAGCTGGAATAAGCTCTCAACCTTTTTTTCTAGAAACATAAAGAAAAGCAGACTCAATGTGAGGAAATTAGAGCAAAGCTTGGCATCAATCAGAGGAGCTTCTGGCCCATGTCAAATGAACATCCTAAGACAGAGACATATTGAGTCTTGCCCTTCTCTGTATCCACTATGGAGTCATCAAAAAGATGGATTATTTCAGAAAATAGAGCAAAACATTCTATTTAAGGCCTGGCGGTGGTAGTGTACACCTTTAATCCCAGAACTCGGGAGGCAGAGGCAGGTGGATCTCTGTGAGTTCGAGACCAGCCTGGTCTACAAGAGCTAGTTCCAGGACAGCCTCCAAAGCCACAGAGAAACCCTGTCCCAAAAAACCAAAAAAATTCAATTTTTATATAATGGCAATGTGGAAAGGGAAATATGGCATGTGCATTAAGTTTCTTAGACAGTAGAGTTTAAATTTTTGACTCCTAAAACCTCATAAGAAAAAAATGATGGGTTTTAATGAAAAGCATTTGACATTCATGCAAAATTTATTCTTGTCTACATGTATTCCCACTGTATTCTCAAGGTTGACATGAAAGGACTCCAACTTTTCTTCTGCCAATCTACATAACCTCCAACCTGACCCTCCTCACACTTCTTCCTCTTCCACTAAGGAAGTTCAAAAATATACATAACTAACTCAGGATGGGATTGGGGGACCTAATTTCAGAGACTCAGAATTAATAAAGCCAAAATTAAAGTTACGTTGCCTTGCTTCCCTCAAAAAGGTTCAATCCACTATATCTGGGTATTACCTTAATCTCATTTGGTTACCAAAATTGAAATAAAAGACATTTAGATAACTTGAAGTGATCTACAACACAGAGAAAATAAAACTCCCTTGGATTAAGAGGAATCAAGATTATCTATGAGGTAGAGGTAGAGGTGGCCACATTTCTGTTTACTTATGGGGTTCCAGACTCGGAATCACTTAGTCATCTTCTCAGTGTCATAGCTGTGATAGACACAGGATTGTTATCTTCACTCTAGAGTTGCAAACTTCATAATTGGTGTGCTAGATTGGATAGTCATTTTCTTTATTCATAAACAAAAGCATAATTTCCTGATGTCAATTTCCTTATATGAAAATATTTTCTCTCTCCAATAGATTGTTTGGCTTTTACAAAGGAATTATACCACCCATTTTAGCTGAAACACCAAAGAGAGCAGTCAAGGTAAGTACTGTATGCTTTCCCACAAAGTGTACACACAGTATCAAGACACCCATAGTAATCAAGGAAACACTAATTTAGCTTAACATAAAACACTACAAGTTTTAATGCAGAAATTGTAGCATAATCAATCTGTGTTATAATTAGGCATGGTCATTCTCTCAAATACACATATTTGTAGGGTTTTCTTTTCAGGCAAAGATGCTTCTTTGTAATGAGGAAATTACACACACACACACACACAGAGAGAGAGAGAGAGAGAGACAGAGACAGAGACAGAGACAGAGACAGAGACACAGAGAGAGGGAGAGACAAAGAGAGAGGTTGAGAGAGAGAGAGTACAGTGTTTGAAACTCAAGTAATTAAATCACACAATCCACAAAATCACTTGGAAATTTTCTCAAGCAATTCAGAAATGTTCCTTTGGAGCTTTGAGTATTAAAGAAAAAGAAGTAGAAAATCACTGCTGGAATCATTTCTGTCTCACAAAAAAATATACTATTTATTTGTGTATGATTCTTAATGTTTTGGACAAGTCAACTTTATTTCTCCCTTTAGTTCTAAAAATCTCTTCTGGTGCTTACAGAATTATGATTTCCATTTTTTAATGTGTAACTCTGGAGGTTTATGTACTACTTGCCAGTGTTGAGTGTGTGACTGTGATTGTGTGCCAGACCCGCGAAGAATAAAAGACCTCCACACTGTTTCCCATGTGTTCTTTCAGGCAAAAATCCTAATTGCAGTAGCCCTGACTGGCATAGCCCTCCCACCCACCCCCATTCGCTGACATCACCAAATATGGCTTTGTCTTTCTATAAAATAACATAAACATAGACATAAAGACTTCCTTTCCAACTTTATGTCATTTATTTTAATGGCATAAAGCTTTTTCACATACTCAGTTTCTATCCCCCATATTCCTGAAAGGCAAAGTGGAGTGGCTTGCATGCTGTTACTGAGTAAATCAAGGGGATAACTGGGTTTTAAAACATGATGAAATAACTAGCATATATATATACATATGTATATATATACATGCATATATGTATATATATACAAACATCAAACTTTTGCATTATGTCAAATAGTAAAGTAATGGAATTTAAGTTCAGGTCTCAAATTCAGAAAAGAAGGCTTCAAAACATACTTTCTCTATAAACGTGTCTTCTTTGTTGTTGTAGTTTTGTCCTTTCATATTATTGCTTCAATACAAATTTCATTATAAGGATCTGAATCGCAGTAGAGGATCTGGAAAAAGTTCACCAAAGTACACAAAAGGGCTGAATTGAATTATGAAACGGCTTCACTTGATAAAAGATTGCCCAAGTAAACAAACAGAACAGAGTTCCTGTTCAAAAGGAAAGTCACTTTGTCTCCCTGGAATAATATATTCATTTGTTCAGTGTTTTCCGTGTATAAATAAAGTAAATTGTAATTAGACTTCTTCCTGCCGTCATTTCCCTTAATGCTATATATTGGAGACAATTTACACTTTAAGAGGATTAAGTTTTATCAATGTTGAACAATCCTTTACAAAAAAAGAAGAAAATAAAAACCTTGAGCTTTACAAAACCGAGTTAGTCTCTAAAAAAATAAAATAAAATAAAATAAAGCAGTGCTCTGTGCCAGAACAATGGTTAACAGATGAACTGTTGGGCAACTGGATATGGTGGATGTGTACCAGACATCTTGTTGCAAGTAGATTTTACCTTAAAATTATTGAGACATATGGTAAGTGCATTGGCTTTTTAAGTAGAACTTGTAGTTAAGTGTATCTTTGCCAGATGGATAACACTAGCTTTCCAACACAATTTATGAAAACATTCATTTTTTAGATATTTATCTTAGGATTTGGGGGGGAAGCAACCATCTGATTGTAACAATTTCATACCTCATAAACTATCTCGTGTGTCATTGAAGTTTACCTCTGAATAAAATATTCAGGAATTTCCGTGTGTGTGTGTGTGTGTGTGTGTGTGTGTGTGTGTGTGTGTGTGTGTGTGTGTGTGTGTGTGTGTGTGTGTGTACCATGTATGTATGTATGTCTTCCTTAGGATGGACACTTTAGTTACAATTGTTACCATAATCAGAAACAAGCAATTTTATACTTGTCTGTATTTTATTCCTTAAAATGTGGTTCATAAAACCCACATAAAACAGCTGACCTGAACAATGGAGAGCTCTTGCTCCCCAGACTGATAGCTGGGATAGCAGCATGGGACTGATCCAGACCCCAGGAACATAGGTTTCAGTAGGAAACCTCAGAAATCTACAGGACCTCTTGTAGTAGTTCAAGTACTTATCCCTAGCATAGGTGTGGACTTTGGGAGCCCATTCCCCATAGAGGAATACTCCCCTAGCCATGACACATGGGGGTGGGTCTAGGCCCTATCCCAAAGGATACGATAGACTCTGATGACACCCTATGTAAGGCCTCACTGTCCAGGGGGAGCAGAAAGGATATGTGATAGATAGGGTTTTAGTTTGGGGGGTGGTATGGGAAGACGGGAGGGAGAAGGGAACTGGGATTTTCATGTAGAACAATCTTGTTTATAATTCAAATTTTTAAAAATCTGCAAAAAACAGAACTCATGTGTAGAGTTTGAGCCTCACCAATTGTGAGCATTTGTACTATAGATAAGTATATATGTATTATATAAGTATATATATTATATATTATGTAAATACATTCAAAGAGCTTATGAAAGTAAAAACAAGAAGAAATGAGGTTCATAATTAAAATAATAAGACTTGTAAATAAATTATATTTCTTTCCAAAAATTAAGACAGAATCAACTGTAATCAACAGAAAGAAATGAAGACTCGGACAGAGACACTGAGAGATGGGAGGCAGGATATTCCGGATTCTAGGGTCTGATATTCGGCTTCTCAGTGCCAGAAATGCAATTGTTTTCTATGTTCAAATGTTCCAGGACTCTTGACCCTGCCCAAACTTATGGGAGGTTATAAGCATGTGAAGTCTATCTGTTCACTACTGTGTATCTATACCTCCTGTGGCATCTACACATAGTTGGTGTTCAAATGAGTAAATGAAACAAGAAAATATTTATAGGGGGAAAAGTTAATATCGAAGATAATCTCTTCCATTTCTCCAAATCCCCACATGTACTACTCAAAGTATCTTGAAGGTCAAGACTTCGGCTTCTGATGAAGGTGCAGTAATGGCCAGGTTAAATCTCCTACAAGAGCAACATCATGAACAGTAACAATAAACAACAAACATGAAACAATAGTTTTGTTTAAAGATGCTGACATCACACAATGAAGGACAGTAACATCTGGGAAACAAGCAAGATGAGCCTTATGAATGTTCAATGTACTGCCTTGAGAGGGTTTCTAGGCCCTAAGTAAGGAGGGAAAACAGGCAGAACCCAGTAGACTCCTTGGCTTAAGATTAGACTCTAGGAATAGTAAGGTTACTGGGGCTGACAGGATGAGAGAGAGATAGAGAGACAGAGAGAGAGAGACAGAGAGACAGAGACAGAGACAGAGACAGAGACAGAGAGACAGAGAGATTTTCAGCGAAGCCCCCTCTTGTATTGGTAGTTTGAGCCCATGAAGGAACTACCACCCAGGAAATAACTGTCCCAAAGGACTAGCAGATTGTGATAGTGCACAGGGCTAGGGACAGTGTCTGTGCCTGCCAATCCATTTGGAAGCCTCCACTTCCCAAGGGCAATGAGAAGAGTGTTCATAAGGGTCTTGCCATTAGAACAGAGATGAATGTGTTCTCAGCTCCCATTTCTTAGAAGCAAGATTCGAATGGCCTGTGCTCTCATACAACTCAACTGTGTCCAAGAACAGAACATCTAGGATGTTAAGTTTCTCAGTGAGTTGTTTAATGAGCATGGTCTGAAAACAAAAAAGAAAAATGGAGACAGGAAAAAAAAAATCTAGAGTTGTCCCCAGGCGTGTGCTTAAAAATCCTCATTGAGCACTGATAAGAGCTGTGGACTGAGTCCGTATCCCTAGACTTCTTCCTTGTCATCCTACCTTTGTCTTTAATCCCTGCAATGACAGAAAGCCAGATAGGAAAAAAAGACAAGCAAACATGGTACAAATGCATCTCACACAGTAAATTACTAAGGGAGTAGAGATTTCTACGAGGTCCATCACCTCCCAAACCATTCAGGATCCAATGCCAACACTAATTGTTTCTAAAATGGTACTTGGGACAAGATATCAACATAATGACTGTAATGTGGTGAGGCTCATGAGTACATCCTAGCCCCCATTTGTTTTTTAAAAACTAGAGATTGAACTCAGGGCATTGTATATGTTAGGAAAGCACACTACTACTGAGGTATAGCCACAGCCCATACCCTATCCTCTTGTCTGAAAAAAATTGTCATGTGAATTCACCAGAGTAGTACATGCAGATCTTAGCATGTTGCTAGACCACAGTAGACTTCCACGATTTAGGCGTCAGTGGTTCCTCTATTAGTATAGACAAGAAATAGAAACAAATTTTTCTACATCTCATGTCAGGGAATCCTACTTAAACTATATTATTTCATGACAACTCTGATAGCTATGGTTTTTGCAGTTGACGGTCAGACAGGTGAAGTAATGTTCTCATGCTGTCATGATTAAGTGGCATGGCGTAGCTAGGCTTCAGATGCATACCACTCACTTCAAAATCCTAGCAAAGTTATGGTCTAAACACAACCATGGTGATGACAATAATAAAAAAGAAGTAAATATTCTTTAAAAGATCCAAGTGGGTACCTTGCACCTATAATCTCGATACTTAAAGAGCTGAAGAAGGAAGAGTGCCATATGTTCAAGTGCAATATAAATGGCAATAGTGAGTTCTAGGCTAGCTTGGGTTACATAATGTGTCTGTCTCAAACAAACAAACAAGCAAACAAAACATGCCTGAGACTTTTATTTTTCCTTCTGGAATGACTTCTACGGTTTATACTGTGTCTCTCATCAAAAGAGCAATAGTGCCTACTGTGTGGGGTCAGGAAAGCAGGGGTACAGGCTGTGTTTACTGTATTCAGAGTGCCTAGAATGGGAGGAATCTAATAAATATTTAGTAATTGGATGAACAAATCCAATTATAAAAAGACTATATCAATACTTCACCTAAAATATCATGGCAATGACCTCATTCTTTAAAAGAATAAGAAATGTCAATCTGTTATTAAATGATTCTTGGACTATTCAAAGTTTCCACAGGCCATATATACAAGAAACCACCACTTTCTAAGGATAGGATATAACTAGTCCCCCAAACTGCACTTTTTTTTCTTTACCTTGATCTATTTTATTAAGCTATAAAGTAATAGCATGATTTACCGTACCACTTCTTGGTTCTTGAGACTCAGATACTGCAAGTCCTAAGAGTACAACTTATTATCATTGATATTGATAGTAACCCAGTTAAGTACTCAGAAGCAAAATACCCTGCCCAAGCAGAGTTGTTTCCCAAAATACAGAATACAGGGAACGGAAAAAAAAGAAATATATTATATGAAGGAATTATTTCATTTTGCCGCGGAAAAATGTGTTTGTACAACACAATGTCATCCCCTGAAGGGGCCACCAGTTATAGATCCCTGTTCTTTACTGTCATCATCTTCAGATCCTAAAGGAAGGAATAATGTTGGGAACATCTTTCTTTGACACAGTCTTTCTAGGGGGTGGACTAGATAAACTTGGTGGGCCCTTCCCTAGTTTATCATGGCATCTTTGCAATCACAATGTTTTTTTTTAAAAAAAAAAATTCCATGGAGCTATCAGGAGAACAAGCATTGTACACAAGGCTAAGGAATAGATATCTTCTACAAGTGTGTTAGAAAATGGGGCATTTTCTTGGAAAGTGGTTCGTAGAAAAAAAAATAAGACCAAGGATTTCAGGTCTCTGAGCCTATAATTTTGAATCACTGCCATAAGAAAGAAGTCTATTGATGTCTGGGGAAACTGAAAATGGTCATGGTAAATGGCAGTTGTATGGTTCATTTACTGCTATAAGGGATTCCATCAGATTTTCTGTAAGTTATTATAACTACATTTGAAAAATGGCAATGTTAAAATGGCATCTTACAGCAACAGCCCCAGACAGCATTAAAAGCTGTGTTAGATGGCTCATCATTTTTAAATGCTGATTAATATAATGATTTACTGAGGGACTTTTAGCCAATTAGAGAGTTTGTTGCAGGAAATTGTTATAAATCTCTAGGTTTGGTTTTGTTTCACAGTTTTCCACCTTTGAGCAGTACAAGAAATTGCTGGGATATGTGTCACTATCACCAGGGCTGGTAAGTGAGAATATTTATTATACTTAAGTGTGTATGTTATTTCATAAAGCAAAATCCAGAAACAAAAACCCTTTTGATTCCCAAATCCCAGCTACTAAAATATGAATTTGAGTTATTCAATGTTTAGCTACTTGTTGAAAGCCATCTTCATAATAACTCACAATCTGGCATTTTATAGCTCCCAGTGATGAATTTATGATAATAATGATATGTCTGGAAAGGCCTCTATGAGATATAGTCAAGAATATAAAATAAAGACCACATTCACCCTTGGAAACCAAAGCATGCATTTGTTTACATACACACTATGTGTATCTATTTATGCAAAAGTTAATATGAGATTATTTTCTAACGGGTCAATTTCCCAGCTGTTGCTCAAGCTCTAGTAAATATAGGACTTAAAGTCACTTGGGATAAAATCACTCTGTGGTCAGAGGCAGACTGAAGAGCCTTTTATTGGAATGACTGTAAACAACTCAGCTGGGGAGAATAGTGATCCCGCAATGACACAGCTCAGGTATTTCACAAAGCTCACTTGGCCAGTGCCAAGTGACTGGCCATTACCCTGTGTCATTCCTCCCTGCTTGGTGACTTTGTTCCCTTTCATAATGCAAGTTAAATTATATTGACCAAATGTGTGTGCACGGAGAGGTCCAGAGAGAGCAACTGCCTGAACCTCCCTCTCCCAATCTGCAAAAGGAAACACGATGCCATGCATCATTACTCTGCATGGCAATGTACCGTCTATCCTCTAGGAAAATTGCTATTTGGCTGCTAAAACCTCAAAATTCTACTGGAAAGGCAATATTCTTGCCTTTGTCTCTTTAATCATTAAAATCACTGTAAGCTAAAAAGCAAACAGATGCATTGGGTACATCCACCGAGCCTCACAGGTAAGTGCCAGCATATGCTGTAAAGAACTGGGGGCTTATTTTCCTGAATGGACAACCTGCTGAGAGCTTCTTCTACCCAGAAATGTGGGTGTTTAGGGCACTATTGGCCTGGGAAAAGATCAAAATGCAAAGTGTGAAGTGTGTTTCATTTTTGTACCATCATAAAGACAAACAAAAATGTATAGACTAGGCTATTGTGTATCAGGAAACACATATCCTTCCCTTGAAAAGTTTATTTCAGAATGTTTACTCTAACAAACAGATTGTCTCCTCTCGGAAATCTACGGGACCTCCTGTAGTAGTTCAGTAGTTATCCCTAGCATAGGTCTAGACTTTGGGAGCCCAATCCACATACAGGGATACTCCCCAAGCCAAGACACACGGGGGTGGGCCTAAGCCCTATCCCAAAGGCTATGACAGATTCTTATGACCCCCTATGGAAGGCCTCACCCTCCCTGGGGAGCAGAACGGAAATGTGATAGATGGGGAGGGGGGTGGTAGGGGAGAAAGGGAGGGAATGGGAACTGGAATGGACATGTAAAACAATCTTGTTTCTAATTCAAATTTAAAAAAAAAAAAAACAGATTGTCAAAGAAGTCTTTCTTAGCCTCAAAATTCTTGCATGCCCACTTTCTAGAAAGGATCGCTTTTTAGATGAAGCTACCAGTCCCACCTCCTGACTAAATAGGGTAGGGCTGAAGAACACTCTCCTGGAAAGGAGCAGTTATGCCCAGAATCTCAGGTGAGTAAGATTTTGCTTTAAAATCCATGCCTGGAGTTATGGTGGTAGTGCACACCTTGAATCCCAGCATTCAGGAGACAGAGTGAGTACAGGATCTCTGTGAGTACAAGACCAACCTGGTCTACCTAGTAAGTTCCAGAACAGCTAGGGCTGCATGGTGAGACCCTGTCTCAAATACGTGTGTTTGTGTGTGCATGCATGTGTGCATGTGTGTATGTGTGTTATTTTTTCCATAGTATCTTCCTTTGGAAACGTCTTGAGAAAACAAAGATTAAAGACTTCCTAATAGGAGTAAATAAAATTTGGCCTCCGAAGGACTTGCTGGCTGTTTCATATGTGCACAGAGCTACCATGTGAGACACCACAGGTCTTCAGACTCAAGATTTGAAATGGAAAACTATCTGGCCACTCCATCTACTATTAAATGAACTCATGCAAACCATATACGGTCCTCTCCTTTTCTTGAACTCTCTTACTCCCTTTTCTTTTTTGATACAGTGAGGCAGTTAGCCGTTAAATATGCTCTGGTGCTCACATGAAAGCCAGGGAGACCTGACAGCAAAGGCATGTCTCTTCAACAGTCTGAGTAACATGATCTGCTGGTATCTGATCAATTCTTTTGACAAGGGGCTGCTGAACACTAGTTCTGACAGCAGATGTAGCTGAGCTTTATAGAGGGACAAAAAAGTGAATTACTTGGAAGGTTGCAGAGTGAGTAATAAAACCCTAACATCTGGATTTTAGCTTTCCCAGTGAGAAGAGTTTGGGACTGGTTATTTTTTTCTCTCTCTTCTCTCTCCTCTTACTGGCCTCCATGATGGAAGTCTGAGATAAATGAGAAAATTTCTGGTCAGTTACCCTATACAAATTATGCTTAAAAGTGTAATGTAGTGGGATAAATGGAAAACTTGGGTAGTATTCCTTCTCTCCTAGAATCTGTGTGCAACACCATTCTTCCTCTTTTTCATGGGAAACCAGAGCAGTCATGTTTGGAAGTGATTTAAAAGAACCTTCATGTGTTACTTTGGCCCTCAAAAAGGAATTAGATACCATTCTATTTTATAGAAAAGGGAACTGGCTTATCCTGAGTTCTGTGATGACTGCACAGCCCCAGCAGCACAGTTGGTGTCTGTGTGAGAGCTCTTCCCCTCTTCTGACAACTGATACTCTGTGGCTCTCACTTGGCAGGTGGGGTGTGAGCTGCCTTTCAATCTCGCCATACTCCTGACCCTCAATCAACCCCACCTCTACCTTAATGATACAGAACATTTCTTATTCTCTCTTCTTGTCTCTTACTTTGAAATTATTAGAGACACTAAATAAGGACCATCTGCAGCCAGGCATGGTACATTCTTGTAATCCAAACACTTGGAAGGCTGAGGCAGGTGGGTCACTGTGAGGGTTCAAGGCCTTGTCTCAGAAACTGAAAAGAATGAATGAAGTAATAGAAGAAGATTTCAGTCTTCCCTGGAATTAGTTCAGCAGCAAGGGATTCTGGAGGGTAGTAAAGGTTTTGCTTTTCCTCTGTGTGTCCATGTGTATATGAGTGATTTTTATTGTTGTGCTCATGTGTAATACGCATTTTCTAGAAAAACTTTACATTATCTATAGAAGAAACTTGTTACTTCCTGTTGCTAAAAATCTTTTTTTTCTTTTTTGAGATAGGGTCTCTCTATGTAGTCCTAGATGTCCTGAAACTCACTATTGTAGAACCCATCTGGCCTTAAACCCAGAGAGATCTGCCCTCCTCTGCCTCCCAAGTGCTGGAGTTAAGTTTCTATTGCTGACACTCAACCCACAGACAAAGAGAATCTGACATACAATCATCCTTTGATAAGTGTTCCAGGTTTTAGAGGGGCTCTTCAGAACAACCAACCATTCCTGGTCACAGTGTTTATTACTTGGGTCTTAGGTGCAAAAGCAGGGTGACCACTCCTTTAAGAACAAAAGACAACAAGACAACGGGATGTAACTCTGAGATAAAGCTCTGCCTACTGCATAAAAGGCCCTGGATGCCATCCTCAGTGTTGAGAATAAAAACAAAATAAGATAGAGAATGAATGAAAATAATTTTGTTTGTTAATAATCTGAAGCAGTGCTTCTAAGAACATAGCTGTACATATGAATGTTTCCGGTTATGTACCTGGAAGGTGACTTTATATAAACATTTCATTTGTAGTTCTATTCAATAAATGCATTTAAGCAGCATTTTAAAATAGAGCTCTTCCTTTACAATTTAAACTCTTCCATTATATAATGATGATGTTTTAGGATCCACCTTTAACCAGTCAAACAGCCTCCCCTTTTGTTAAAGGAAAACATCATTGTTGATGGGGCTTTAATGTCTTATTTTAAAAATATTAGGATGTGGTTTATGGCTTCTGTAGTTTCTTCTCCATGAATTTCCATCATCTAATCAAGAATTCAAGCTGTTTGGTAATGGTTTATGATGCACTTGGGGCGGGGGTTCCCTTCATTTTTGTCTTAACTTTGGCTGCATTTTATAATGAATAGAACTTTTAATCTAACATGCATGATCAGTTGTTTTAAAGCATTGATCAACTTATTTTTCTAGACATTTGCCATTGCTGGACTTGGATCTGGACTAACAGAAGCAGTCGTGGTCAACCCTTTTGAAGTGGTAAAAGTTGGTTTGCAAGTCAATCAGCACACATTCACAGAGGTAACCATTTAGTTAGTAAGGAAATATAAAAATTGTGTATGTATGTGTGTATATCTGTGTATGTGTGTATATATATGTGTATGTGTATATGTATGTATGTGTATGTGTGTATGTATGTGTCTGTATGTATGTGTATGTGTGTATGTATGTGTGTATGTATGTGTATGTATGTATGTGTATGTATGTATATGTGTACCATACACAAAATTATGAATCCAGATCTTAAGCATAGCAAAACATTCTTTAAAAAGTAGAATAAGAAAAATTCAGTTATCTCCCATAAAGTGTTTAAAAGGAAATAAGATGGGATAAATAGGAGTATACATTTTTATTTTAGAGTGCTAATGAAACTTATAGTGACTTGCTAGGGTTTTTGCCACCCCCCCAAAAAAAAGAAATTCTCTTCTACACTTCGTGTGAAGAAACTGTAGCAAAACCACTGAGGGAATGGTATTATTGTACTTTTAGAAAGATGAAGTCATTTTTTAAAAAAATTACCTCACTCCTTTCCCCACTCCACCCATCACCCTCTCCAAAAGTTTCTGATAATCTGTCAAAGTTGTCTTTGTGTTATATCTGAATGAGCAAGTTACAACGAAGCCTGTGTAGATGTTACCACTTGGAGAATGATGGGTCTTGACATCTAATCACTGATACACAATGTTCAACGTAGACAGCTTCTCTTGGTGTTTGCTGTGTTCACTTCCTTCTACTTGCCTAATAATTCCCTTTACACTGCCAAATCCAACTGTTCCTGCTGTATTCTTTTGGATTCCAAACACAAGGCATGGAGAAAACAGGGAATTAACATTCCAGGTCCCTTCCTAGCTTTTTAAGTCCATAAGTGGGTAGCATGTGGTGTAAATTGGTCTGTGGTATCTGCTGACCTGGGTACCCTTGCCTACTACTTAAGCAGCTGGTTATGGGTGGAGACCCCCTCATCCCCAGCCCATTTCCTGCCTGCTGTTATTGCCTGAGAGTTGCCTGACAGCTTCTTGGGCAGGGAGAAAGGGGGCCCTACTCACCTGTCACTGCCAAGACCTGGACAGGGGGAGATTGGGAAGTGTAGGGCTGCTGTAACAGATGGTATCTACTCAGGTGAAGTCAACATGATTCAAAGAGATTTGTTGTTGTGGCTGAAAAAGGGCTGAAAAATCTCTGTGTACCTCTAGATGTTTGTTTTGTTTATGTTGTTACCCAGCCTTACTAGCTTAAGAGAAAATGAAGGTGAGGAGTAGAAATAGAAAAGGAGACAGGAGCTTTTCAAATGCTCCCATCAACATGCAGCCCTTAAAACAGAATCTGTTTAAAATTTAAAATAAAATCTGCCCAAGAAAAATCAGTTTATTAGAGTGGGAAAACTACCATCAAGAAGAAAGTTTTGGAGATCACTACTCAGTGACTGATTTTTGTCCACGGGGAAGCCTGTCTTAGAGCAAGTGAGGAGCCAAGGAACAAACAAATCTTTAGATTCAGGTCTTTTTCCGGGCAACATATGACTTCAGGAGCAGGAATGGAACAGAATACCAAGGAACACTCACTAGAATAAAAACAAGGATTGTTCACAGCACTGTGTTTATTCCTAATGTTCTTTTCATCTTTCCTGCTCCCCAAGAGAATCTGCAGAGCCCAAGTAAGAACCCATGTTTTATGTGCTAGTGCTTTGCTAGGGAGTGATAAACACAATGCCCATTCAACACAAAAGCTTGCTGCATGTGAGCACACTCCAATCCCTTTTGCACAAGGGCAATCTGTATAAACTGTTTATGTATTTCAGTCATTTTTTATCCGAGCGATGGAAGAAGTTTGCTTGGAATCAAAATGATGAGATTTTCAGCAAAATGACTGGATATAGAGAGTATCATATTAAGTGAGGTGATCCACTCTCAGAAAGACAAAAAGCCCATGTTCTTTTCTCATACAGAAATCCTAAAATGTAATGCTTGCAAATACTGGTATAGACTTGAACTGGACAGGAGACCACAAGAAGAGGAAGGAATTTTTTTTTCCATTTTTTAATTTAAATTAGAAACAAGATTGTTTTACATGTGAATCCCAGTTCCCTCTCCCTCCTCTCCTCCCCTGCTCCCCACTAACACCCTACCTATCCCATGCCCTTTCTGATCCCCTGGGAGGGTGAGGCCTTCCATGCCGGGGTCTTCAGAGTCTGTCATATCACTTGGGATAGGGCCTAGGCCCTCCCCCATGTGTCTAGGCTGAAGGAGTATTCCTCAATGTTAAATGGGCTCCCAAAGTCCATTCTTATGCTAGGGATAAGTACTGATCTACTATAAAAAGCCCCATAGGTGACAGAAAACTTTAATGGGGAGGGAAAAAAGTTTCATGTGACATGAAAATGCAAAGAAGGCTACTGAAACTGGGTGAACACAAGGGAAGAAGGGGGCTGGGGAAAATGGGGAAAGAAAAACAAAAACCAATTTTTTACAAAAAATAATGAAATCTAATTTTCTGTAACTAATAATTTTTAGCTGAGTATACAAATGATGAATTCTTTTTCTAAAGTACCAAAAAGTATATCTTTCTGTACATAATGTAAGTATGCAAAAGCAGAAAAGATAATGCAGACTCTAGGGCAGCTATTGCTGGCTCAATAGGAACTAGTAGCTGTATGAACAGAACCAGGTGAATTTAATTTAATAGCAAATTTTACTTAGCCTGATATAACAATAGTATTTTTAGGAAGTTATCTTTTTTGATCAACTTTAGAATTTTAGATTAGTAGGAAGAAAGAATAACACTTTTCTATATGAATACCTTCGTTATTGCCAACACTCCCCACCCGTGTAACCCATTTATTACTGCTGATAAACCCATATTAACACATCACCACCCAAAGTCTGTAGCTTACAGTAGGGTTCACCCCTGGTGTTGTATATTCTATATGATTAGATAAATTTGAAATATATTTACCATAAAAACAGGGTTGCACAAGTGTGAGGACCTGAATTCAGATCCCCCAAACCCACATAAAGTCAGACATGGTATCACACTTTTGTAATCCCAGCACTCCTATGATGAGACGGGATGCAGAGATCATGGGTAGACTGGCATGTGAATCAGTGGCAAAAGAAACCCTGTCAAATTAGGTGGAAGGTGAAGAGTGACACCTGAGGTTGTCCTCTAACCACTACACATACACTGTAGCACATACGTATCCACACACATGACTGTACATTCATATACACACATACACAGACATATCATAACACATATAGATGCAAATAAAAATGTAATTGTCCTATTGCTTTGAAGAAACACCATGACAAAGTGAGCTTATAGAAGAAAGCAATTAATTGGGAACTTGCTTACCGTTTCAGAGGGTATCTTCAGGTTTCTATTGTTATGAGAAGACACCATGAACATAACAACCCTTTTAAAGGAAAACATTTAATTGAGGCTGGCTTACAGTTTCAGAGGTTTAGTCCATTATCATCATGACAGGACATGGTAGCATGCAGGTAGACATGGTGCTGGAGAAGGAGCTGAGACCTTTATATCCTAGACTCCAGAAAGCAGGCTGATACACAGGAAACAGAAAAAGACTGTCCCACACTGGGTGTAGCTTGAGCATATGAGACCTCAAAGCCTGCTGCCACAGTGACACACTCCCTCCAACAAGGCCATACCTGCTCCAACACTTCCTAATAGTGTTACTCCCTAAGGGCTAAACATTCAAACACATGAATCTATGGGGGCATACCTATTCAAACCACCACAGAGGGTTAGTCATTATCATCAGGACAGAGAGCATAGTGGCAGGCAGGCATAGTGCTGGAAAAGTAGCTGAGACCTTTATATCGTAGACTCCAGAAAGCAGGCAGAGAGAGACTCTGGACTCTGGACTTTTGAAACCTCAAAGCCCACTCCCAATGACACACTACTCCACAAGGTCACACCTCCTAATCCCTCCCAAATAGTCCCATGCCCTTTCATCTAAGCATTCAAATATATGAGTCTATGGGGGCCCTTTTCATTCAAACCCCCACAGTAAAGAGTGTTTTTACTACCCAAGAATGCTCTATGCTCCATATTTCCTGTGAACACTTTATAGCATGTATACTAGTTTGTCTTAATAATAAAAAAAAACAGAGACAGATTGGAGTTAAAGCTGAATATCAGAAAAGCAAAGCAGCCAACCACTCTACCTCAGACCGAAAGGTCAATCTTGTCCTCTCAGAGCATCTCCAGACTGCATCTGTCTCCACCAAACCTCAGATTGCATTGAGCTCCTGTCTCCTCCTGCCTTATATTCCTCTCTAGTGCTGGAACTAGAGGCATGGGATTCCAAGTGCTGAGATCACCTTTGTGTGAGCTGTTTCTCTTTTAGACGGGATTGGTTTCATGTAGCTCAGGGTGACCTTGAATTAACAGAAATTTGTCTGTCTCTGTCTCCTGAGTGCTAGGACTAAATGTGTGTACCACCACTGCCTGGCCTCTATGGCTAACTAGTGTGGCTAGCCTTGCACTCTGATCTTCAGGCAAGCTCTATTTGTTGGATCATAAACAAAATATCACCACAACACTTGCTTTTAAAAGCAGTACCTCCTCATTGTAGAAAATTTAGAAAATACAAAAAAAGTATAATGAAAGTATATGATTTCAAAAGAATGCATATGGATTCTGTCAAGGCTAAGACTCACCTTTGCAGGTACTCCACTGCTGGTCGGGTAGGAATGACTTGCTGGCCTATCTTAGGGCTCAACCTTTTATAATTCAGGTCTATGACTTAATTTATAGTAAGGATATCCATTTTTTCTGAACTAATTTTTAACAAAGTTTAAACCTTATGAGCAAATTATTTCAGAACGTATACAATCAGAACTGTCTAGAACAGGAAACCAGATATAGAAAAGGCAAAGCTGACCCATGGTTTGGGAGACACAGATTACAGCTCCCACAGTGCTTTGCACTGAGTAGCCTTGAACACAGATAGTACTTTCAGTTCCCTCATTGGCAAAATTGTGATGCTCAGTTCATCT